TTTTTTTTTTTTTTTTTTTTTTTAATGTTTGTTTATTTTTTGAGAGAGAGACAGAATGCAAGTGGTTAGGGGCAGAGAGAGAGGGAGACACAAAATCAAAGCAGGCTCCAGGCTCCAAGCTGTCAGCACAGGGCCCAACGTGGGGCTTGAACGAACGAACTGCGAGATCATGACCTGAGCTGAATTCGGACGCCTAGCTGACTGAGCCACCCAGACGCCCCATATTGCCTTCTCTTAATGAAGCAGCCTAAGTTACTGAAGGATGCTAAAATAAAAGGTGTCTGACCCCCTTTTGACCATTATGTCTATCAAATTATGTAATATTTTAAAAGGAATATAAAGAATAATGAATAATTCATCTTAAGGATTAAAACAGTGCCAATACAGAAGCCTTGCTTGTACCCTCACCTTCCCTTTCCCTTCAGAGGAAACCATTATTCTGTATTTGATAGTATTTCATTTTTTTTGTAATTTTACTCTATGTATTTCATTTTTTTTTGCAATTTTACTATATATTGACAGATTTTCTAAATTTTAAGACCCCTTTTTTCATTTTTTTCTGTTTTAATGATGAACTCTATAATGATACATATGAAAAATTGCATGTCTTTGATTAGTATGGTTTCACAGTTTAAGAAAATTTCTTAATGGTATTAAGAAAAAAATTTCTTAAAATTTCTGCATGGTATTTCTTTGAAAGCCTCATTTGGTAACATTGTCCGGGTATTGCGCTTAGAGGCCCACTGGTGTTTTTCTCTTTTCCCCACTTCCATATCCCACATGTAGAACATTTCTATTGGCCCCTTAGATCTATCTAGATGTCCAGTCCCTGGAAGATGAACTGTAGTGCCTCTCGTGGAGGTGAGCTGGGATTGATTCTGTAGCGTACACTAAGCGTAGTATATTAGTCTACTTTTGAATTAGGATTGATTGATGATTTCTCTAGGCAGTTCCTTTAATTTAGCACACTAGATCTGTGAAGGAATTGAATCTATGAGAAGAAAATGATTATTAATCTAAAATGTAAAAATCTAAAAAGTAATCTTTAAGACACTTTACTAATCACATAGCTAAGTTTCTGTACTTTTCACTTTCAGCTTTTCTTGTTGGTTTCTTGGGGGAACTGTGGGAATTTAGGGCTCATCTTATATACATCTGTTACTAACAAAAATACCCCTTTTGTTTCAAAAGTGTCCACAGTTCAGGGGCGCCTGGGTGGCGTCTGACTTCAACTCAGGTCATGATCTCATAGTTCGTGAATTCGAGCCCCACATCGGGCTCTGTGGAGCCTGGAGCCTGCTCCAGATTCTGTGTCTCCCCCTCTCTCTGCCCCTCTCTAGCTCACGCTCAGTCTCTATCTCTCTCAAAAATAAATAAATGTTAAAAAAAAAAAAGTAAAAAATGATAATAACAAAGTATCCACAGTTCATCAAAGGCCAAACCAGGGCTTAATGCAGAGAATAAACTTGCTAATTGTTGTGAAACCAGCTTTAAAGAATAGAAATGTAGTTATATGTGAACTACAGTGTCAAGTACTTAGCTCTTCTGAAAGTTTCCCTGTGAATACTACTGATTTTTTTGTCTTCTAGAGTGTCATGTCACTTTCATATATGATTATATTTATACTACATAAACTTTGTTAGTCATATCACTTGAACTCTAGTAGTACACGTGCATGCTCAATCCAGAAAATTCAAAAGCAAAGCAGCATAAATAATCAACAGGATGGAATAATGATCTGATATGAATTGACGATGATAAGAGATGAGAACTGAAGGGATTCTAATCTAAAGGACAAATCTAAGAGGCTGCTTTTTTCCTCTGTATATCAATTAGTTTTTAGTAAGTTTATTGACTCTATTTTGGTCACAGAAACATAATAGGAAGAAGTTATAATCAGTTAAACTAGAAATAGAGTCCAAATTGACATCTTCAATGTAGGTAAGTGAGGCTAGGAGAGTGTTAAACCTGGTTCAGGAATAGGGTACTTGTTATGGATATTTTGGGAATGAAGACTAGAGAGGTAATAATGTGGGATGAATTGGAGGTAGAAAGGCCTAGGCAAAAGGTATTGAGAGCTGAGCTAGCCTAGTGGCAATACGAGAAGGAAGGGGATAAGTTACAGCTCACACAAGGTTTTGATGTACCTGATTGGATGTGGAGGTGAGAGGGACCTCACTGCCAAGATGGTGGTGCTTTTCACAGAGATTAAGAGGTAAGGGAAGTAGATAGAGAATTGGTTTTGAATGTGATTGAGTTTGCCTCTGAGACTAAGGTGATGTCATCTGTGGTCAAACTGGAGCTCTGAGGATAGTTCATAGCTGAACAAAGATAAAGCTTAATAAATGTTTGTTACAGATAATTTTAGGCATTACCAAGAGAAGGGACATAAAGTTTCACATAACAAACTCCCATGTACACATACCTAGCTTAGTAGCCATCAACTCTTGTTTTATGTTTATCCTGACACCCTTCCACATACTATATTATGTTGAGGGTAATCTAATCCATAAATCTTTCAGTACTTCTTTGGAAAAATATTTTTTTATAAACCTAACCAGCATATCAATTTCACATGTAAAAAATTTTACAGGTAAACCTTAATATCATCAAACACCCAGTGATATGTGTCTCTAATTCTTATGGTTTCTTTTTTTAAACAGTGGTTTGTTTCTATAAGGATCCATTAAGGCCTACACAGTGCATTTGGTTGATTTGTCTCAAATCTATCTTTTAATTAATCTCAAAATACCCCTTTACTTCACTAGTTTTCTTTTTCCTCCCTTTAAACATATTTGTTAGATAAACTGGGTGTTAGTCCTGTGGAGTTAGCCTTATTCTGCATTTTGCTGACCATCTTCATAAAGTCATTTAACATGCTTCTCTGTTTCCTGTATTTTGTGTATACTGACAGTAAATAGGTAGAAGCTGATTTCATTTCAGGTCCTTTTGGGTTAGGGGGCATAAGAATACTTTCATCCATATGTCTGTGTGTACTTCAATCAGGAGGCATATGAGTTTTATCTGTCTTTTTTCTAATGTCAATGACCATTAATGATCACCACCATGATTTCATATTAAATTAGGGCTTTGAAAAATTGTGACATTCTCATTCTGCCATTCCCCTATATTTCTTATCTGGAAGAGAAACAGAAGCCTTCCTTCATTTATTCTTTGGTTACATACATAGCAAAGGTAGGTTAAGTACTTGGTTCATTTCCTTTAGTTGCTAATTTTTAGAATAGTGACTTAGTTTCTTAGCGTTCTTCGGAGATAACTAATGAGTGGTGTGTTTGTATCTTTATGAACTCATGGATTTTTAATATAAAAGGTGTTGTAGTAGTTAGTTGTTTTTAATTGATGATAAAATTGTGCCATCTTGGCAATAGGAGCCTCACATTGATTCCTGAGTCATTCTGATAGAATCGCAGTAGTCCTTGCTGTCTTCCCTACTTTGTGTTTTGACGAGATTTTGTTAGGATCTTTGGTTGCTTTTAGTCACACATGGTATCTGGAGACCACAGTATGGGTGCTAGGGGTATTCACTTTAAAAAAGAGAAGTGATGGGGCGCCTGGGTGGCGCAGTCGGTTAAGCGTCCGACTTCAGCCAGGTCACGATCTCGCGGTCCGTGAGTTCGAGCCCCGCATCAGGCTCTGGGCTGATGGCTCAGAGCCTGGAGCCTGTTTCCGATTCTGTGTCTCCCTCTCTCTCTGCTCCTCCCCCGTTCATGCTCTGTCTCTCTCTGTCCCAAAAATAAAAAAAAAAATAAAAATAAAAATAAAAAAGAGAAGTGACTACATTTACAGTGTTGAGCACCGAGGGATATATAGAATTATTGAATCCTAAAATTGTACACCTGAAGCTAATATAACTGTGTTAATTATATGTCAGTAAAAAAGAATAAACAAGTCCATCTGGCTTGGTTTTGAATTTAGGCCACATAGTATCTCCTGGGGCACAGTCAAAGGATCTTCAAACAAATGGAATTTTGGAAAGAACCGTGTTAGAGTTTCTGAAATGTTTATTAAGTGACAGGGAAAAGGATAAACAGAATGCCAAGTGAGTATTAGATGATAGAAAACTGTAAACCTTAGTAAGGAAACTAGCATTTTTAAGAAGGCTGAGATTTTAGAAAAGTCATAGGTGCAAATTTTTTAACAGAAAAGGGAGCCTAGTGGTCAGAATATACTTACCAAATGAACAAATTTCTGGAGCAAAAATGTGAGAAATAACTTCAAGAGTTCAAACAGCAAGTGTCTGTTCTCTACATCAAAAAAAAACCTAAATCTTCATCCCCTTGATACCCAAACCGGTAGATAATAATATAAAAATTTGGTGTACAGGTATTTGTTCTTTATGATACCAAATGTCCAACTGTGACGTTTTTGTTGCTGTTAGTTTTCTGCAGAGCTGGCTAGTAGCTTGACCTGGTGTCATGCAGAGTATATGAGAAATAAGGGTTGTAGCCTTGCCTTCTGGGCTGTCCCTTAGGATAACCAGAGTCAGGATCATCTCTAGTGCAGCCGTTCTTTGAGGTTCTACTTTGACCCTGTTGAGGGTCACAGAAGGCTCCCTGTTTCCCTTCCCTACCCTCACTGCCATGGAAGGGTCATGTGAACAGCACCAAGAAGACCGCTTATTTATCAGGAGAGTCGTGGATCTGCTGAAAATTCACATTCATTGGAGGGAGTAAAGTCTGTGATTACCAAATATGAATGTATTCCACTACTAAGCAAACAGCCTGATTTGAGGCTCATGAGAAGTTACTGAGGGAGGACATAACGTATATCTCTGAGATTCTTGTATCTGGAAGACCTTAAGAAGAGGAGGCATTTCATCTGGCTCAGTAGTGCACTCTCCAAAAATAAAGTGTGCTTCCTTATGAGGTAATGGGTGCCTAGTATTTGAAAATATACAAGGAGCAACTGTCTAGGAAAAAAAAAAAAGATAAAATAAATGTAAAAGCAAAAAAGTAAAACCTACAAATCTAAATTGGACTCACAAATATCAATATATACTTGTGGTGTATATTGATATTTGTGAGTCCAATTTAGATTTGTAGGTTTTACTTTTTTGATTTTACATTTATCTCATTCATCCAGTATTGGAAATCTTGGTTCTTAATTACAGTGACAAAATCATTTATTTTCTCCAAATATATATATTATACATTATATTATAGGGTATACTATATCAGTTTTGGTAAAATCAGAAACCATCTTAATCCTGAAAATTAACTAGATATAAACTTGTTTACTGAAAGGTAAATAAATACTTAAAGTATCATAGAGATAGCAACCATAAGGAAGCGGCTGAGGGAAAAAGGAGAAACTAGTCAAAGTTAGAAGAAGGGTCTTGTGGAACGTCAGTTCAGACCTCTGAAGAGGCGATGTTTCAGCCTTGGGATTGCAGACCTCAGAGGAGCAGGCGTTGGCCTACGGTGTCAGTATCTCCAAAGCTGGTTCCATGAGGACTGGAAAAACTGTAGTCTGGTGCTAAGTGCTGCTGGGGGAGGGAACGGCTGCTGCCAGGGTGAGGCAGTATTGATGGGTCTGATGTTCACGGAGAATGCAAGCAAATAAAAAGACAGCTAAGATGATCAAGTACTTCTTCCTCTGGCACTGCAGTCTCCCTCCAGCACCATCTCTTGTTAGAATCCAATGTGGACCCAGCTCATAAAGCATAAATGCAGTTTGCAGAGTAAGAGTATAGAAGAATAGAGATGGTGCTCAAAGTAGAAATTATAGAGTTGTTTCCGTCAAAATAGAAAGCAAGGAACACAGCAATTACTACATGCATGCACTGGCGATGGTCAATCAAATCGTACTTTTTTTTTAAGTTTTTATTTAAACATGAGTTACCATACAGTGTAATATTTTAAAGTTTACTTGAAATAAATAATTCTTTGTGTGGTTAAACCACCCACTTGATAGTTTAATTTGCTTTTGATTTTTAGGCATTTAATTTTTTTTAACATTTATTTATTTTTGAGAGACAGAGGGAGAGAGAGACAGAGCATGATTGGGGAAGGGGCATAGAGAGAGGGAGACCCAGAATCTGAAGGAGGCTCCATGCTCCAAGCTGTCAGCACAAAGCCTGATGGTGGGGCTCAAACTCATGAACTGCAAGATCATGACCTGAGCCGAAGTTGGACACTCAACCAACTGAGCCACCCAGGTGCCCCAGGCATTTAATGTTTTTAATTTAATTTATGAAATACAGTATATTGAGAGAATTTAGACTCTCACTGTTTAATCTACCCTATAGGTAGCCATTTAATTTCCTTTATTCTTCTGTTTAAAATATTATTTCATATGTAATTTTAAGTAATTTTATGTTTAAAAAATATCAGCAAGTGTCATTTCACCCATCCCCATCTTTCTTAGATAAGCACTAGCATGATTTACTTTTCTACTTTGCTTTTTTATTTTACTTCATATACTGAGATCTCTCATTCTCTCTTTTTTTTTTTAACCTTTATTTATTATTGAGAGAGCATGAACATGGGAGGGGCAGAGAGAGAAGGGGAGACACAGAATCTGAAGCAGACTCCAGGCTTTGAGCTATCAGCACAGAGCCCGACGCAGAGCTCGAACCCACGAACTGTGAGATTATGACCTGAGCTGAAGTTGGGCGCTTAACCGACTGAGCCACCCAGGCGCCCCTGTCCTCATTCTTTTTTGTAGCATAGTGTAGCCTAGAGGTTAAATTTTAGGTTATATCTTTAAAGACGTCATAATTGAAGCTAAGGCAGTAAGGACGAGACAATTCCCGATTCTAACAAAAATCTACAGAGGGAGGAGGAAGAGTGGCGGGTTATATCCAGAGGGCATCAGGGAGATAAGAGGATCTGGAGATATCAAGGAATCCAAATGGTTTCTAGGAAGTAGGAGCCAGGGGCTTTAATGATGTTAGAAAGGTTAAAGATAAGAGCTGAAGAAAAGACAGGTTCGATGAATGAAAATGTTATCCACGTATTTGGAATTTAGCTAAGGTAAAGCGCTAACTGAGGGGGAGGGGGGCAGAATTTCTTTTCCCCATCACAGAAGATAACATAGGGACTGCTTCTCTATAACTTTAATAACTGTTCCCAGAGAATAGTGACACCATGTACAGTTACACAAGCTGGAAACAAAGAAGCTTTCCCTTCTTCACCTCCCGTATCCAGTCCATCGTCTGAACCAGTCAGTTTCACTCCCAATCTCCCTCATTTATTCCCACTTCCACCCACTCTCACCTAAAACATTGAAAAAACCCTCTTACTTGTCTCTGCAGGAAACACTTCCCCCTTTTCTAATCTATTCTCTATATTGCAGTGACAGTGATTTTTAAAATTGCAAATCTGGCCATGTCACTTACTTAAAAGCTTTTAGGAGACTTCATCAGACAAGGACCAAAATTGTCATATGATCCTGCTTGATCTGACCCCTGCTTGCCTTGCCCCTCACTTCTTCTCTTGCCCGTCTTTCCCCTTGATCCTACTTTGTGCCAGTTCTTTGAACCTGCTGTGCTCCTTTTGCCTGGAGGCTATTGTACATGCTCTTCTCTCTGCCTAGAAGGCTTTTCATTAATAACTGATGACTCAACTTCCATACCTTAATGTTAATATGATCTCCTCAGAGAAAGCCTTGCCTGGGTAATCTCTCACTTTCTGCAGTACTCCAGCCCCACTAAAATGAGATCGTTTCCCCTATCATAATGCTCTTACAACTTCTCATACTTTATGGCACTTCTCAGTGTGTAATTGTGTATTGGTGTGAGCTTTACAGTAATGTTTGTGTGCTTCACATTTAGTCTTCACCACGACTCAGTAAAATCTGTTATTAACCTCATTTTAGAGAGCTTTCTAAGTAACCTGCCCAAGACTACTCAGCTGACGAGTGGGGAACTGGGATATGAACCCACACTCCCATCTAGGACACTCAGGATCATAGGGCAGGAACCATGTTTGCTTTTCCGCATTGTTCTATCCTCAGCACTTAGCACAGTGCCTGGAATATTTGTATATTGAATGAAGGACAGTATTATATATCCGTTTCATAAGTTTATAAATTTAAATTTACAAGCACTCTTAAGATAACCGATAGAGACCAAGTATGGTTGGTATATCATTTTTATATGACGAGTTGTTTGACCACCTTTTCATTTTTCTTAAAAATTGATGTGACATGTTTCTCTTATTAGGTGTGTACAAGCTGTGAGGACAATGCAGAAGCTAATGGGTTTTGTGTAGAGTGTGTTGAGTGGCTCTGCAAGACATGCATCAGAGCTCATCAAAGAGTGAAGTTCACAAAAGACCACACTGTGAGACAGAAGGAGGAAGTATCTCCAGGTAATAAATTAGTTCTTTTAACCTCTTTTTCTCTATCCTTCCCACCCTTATCTTTCTTCCTTCCTGTACTGACTTTGTTTTCATACACTTGTAATAGACTCCTGTTTTTTTCTTTTTTTTTGTTTAAAAAAAGGAGGTGTATATTGTAATTGAAATTTGAAGACATATATAAATGACAAATATAAACCCTCCCCTTCCTATAAATGGCTTAATTTGGTGCGAATGTACAGCAAATGAAAAAAAAAGTTGCTTTTTAAACTTCTCTCATCACTTATTTCTAAGGTGTGACAAGAGGTGGGCTTAACAAAAGTTTTACAACTCTTTTCCCTCTGATATTGTTGTGGTAAACCGGTTTTGTGATATTTGATATGTAGATAACTGAAGAAGTTCTGCTTTTTATGTAATTTATGGCTTCTCAGTTTTTATTGTATTGCTTATAAAGATTACTAATATTTCATTGTACTAAAATATATGTAACTTAAAACTTGCCATTCAAACCACTTTTACAAGTACAATTCAGTCGCATTAATTGCATTTACAGTGTTAGGCAACCATCACCACTGTCTGTTTCCACAGTTTTTTCATCATCCCAGAAAGAAACGGTGCCCAATAAGTAATAATGCTCATTCTCCTCTTTCCTCTGCCCTTGCTAACCCCTAATCTACTATCTGTCTCTACAAATTTGCTTATTTCTCCAAGTAAGATCATACAGTAGTTGTCCTTTGGTGTCTGGCTTATTTCACTCGCCACAGTATTTTCAGGGTTTATCCATGTTGTGGCATTTATCAGAACTTCATTAATTTTTATGGCTCATTAATATATTTTTGTTTAAAAATTCGTTTATTGCTTTTAATTCAAGTCAACCAGTGTTCATATGTCTATTCTATATTCCAGGAATTTTGCTGGGTATTAGAGATGAAAAAGTAAATAAAACACTTTTACCCCCACAAGAGTTATTAGTATGATGAAGACTACGAACAAATTAGCAATCATAGTTTGGTCTCATAAGTTCCACGGGAGCACATCAAAGGAGCATCAGACTCAGATTTGGGGATTTAGGTTGGAGGCCACATCTGGGGCTTGACAAACGAATAGAAGGAGGAGGGTGGGGAAAACTGAAGTACAGGTGCACATTTACAGAGGGAGACAGTTAGATGTACCTGGAAAGTAAGATGCAAGAAGAGGAGGAAGAACGAGATGAAGCTAGGATTCTGGTGACACAGGAAAAGGGAATATGATTTCTGAAGGTACTGATGAGGAAAAGGCAAAAGAGGCCAGGTACAGCTTCAGACACGTTGAACAGATTACTGCTAGACAGACTTCTTTTTCTGTGAATTCAGCCATCTACTGAAAAACAAAGAGAGGAAATAAGATTTAAAGGTAAGGAATGTGAGGGATATTTGAAAGAACTCTAGTTGGAAGAGAGCTCCAACTTCAGAAACAGAATGTTTGGTAGCATTGAGGTTACATTTGATGTATAGGCCTTAAAACTTCCTCCATCAGGCTTCAGCAGTGTGGGGATTGGTATAGATAGAGAAGAATTGCACTTCTCTAGGATTGGGGTTTAGCTGGACAGGTGTTCTGGAAGTTCAGGAGAGGAAGGGGTACAAATAATGGCATTTATTGAAATGAAGGATTTTTTTTATAACTCTATAAAGGAGTTGAAGTTGATAGTACTGTCAGTTGATAGGATGAAAGAAATTGTTGGGAACTAGAGATCACGGAGGCACAGTGAGAGCAGTTAACTAAAAACCGGAAGGTTAAAAAGTAGACGTTATTAGAGTGGATGTTTGAATCTGTGATTAGAGAAATGAACCAGTTAAGCACAATCCAAAGTTTTGGGTGGGACCATGATGTAAGGAGCTAAAATGGAGTACAGGTGTCTGGAGATGAAAAAGTCTGAGAGCCTTGTTTTTATGTGGCAATCTGTGTAAACTTCTAACTCATCCAGAGTGATGGCGACACTGAGGACTAGGAAGATGACTGAGTCAGGATCTAAATTCTCCAATAAGTAAAAGAAATCTATAAATGAATGACATGTTCTAATTATCTAAGTCAGAAGCTCTGTACTTACTGTAGACAATATTGTAAAACAAAATACCTGCTAGTGTATGTAGTTATATACAAAGAAAAACAACCATAAGAACACGTACTAGGTTATTAATAGTGGTTATTTCTAGAAGTGGGATTATTTCTGAAATGTTTGGATTTTATCCTTAATTATTAGTGAAATAACTGCTTACTGTTGAGTCAATTATTATACTTATTTGTATTCTGATTTTTTTTTTAATTTAACATTATACATAAGCATTGCTCAATATTATCCTCACTCTGGATAACTAGTAAGTTACATGGAGGACTACAGTATATAGTGAAAACTTTATGATTATTTCTGTGTTAGTGGGTACCCTCTAAGGACTTTTGCACAAGTGGATAAATAACTTTTTTAATCATGTTCTTTATACATTTTTATTAGATTTTCTGAATTCCATTTAAAACAGTCTTCTGCCATATTGGTGGAAAACATCGAGTTGGGTCACACTCACTTATCTGCTTATTTTCTTAAGACTTTTTAATTCCATAAAGCACATTTTAAGCTACATACTTTATTTTTCTCCTGAGTTAGTTTGAAGTTCTGGAATGAAAAGCTTATTTATCTTTTCCTTCTAAAATGCTGAGAATACCTAACATTCTGTGTCTTTTTTCTTGATGTTAATTGAAGTCTAGTTGACACACAACGTCAAGTTAATTTCAGGTGTACAACATCGTGAGTGGACAAGTCTGCACGTTATGCTGTGCTCACCACACTACCATGTGTCCCTGTACCACAAACCTAGTAGTAGTGATGGTGTCAGTGAAACTGCTTATAGCTCTTTTATATTTCAACGGATTGAAATGCAAATGAACAATCTAATAATTATGTAGTATTCACTTATGTTAATTTTCTTCTTTTTGCCTCCTGTTGTTTGTACAGAGGCAGTTGGTGTGACCAGTCAGCGGCCAGTGTTTTGTCCTTTTCATAAGAAGGAGCAGCTGAAGCTTTACTGTGAAACATGTGACAAACTGACATGCCGGGACTGCCAGTTATTAGAACACAAAGAGCATAGGTACTGTCATCTTTAATTATGTGCACACATGTATGGTAAGCTTTATGAGGACTGGAGGGCTGCTGGCACCCCGGCCAGATGGCAGTCGGCAAATGAAGTTTTGTTCGGCCAACAGTACGTTGGCCTGTTCCAGGATTTTTCAACTTGGTCACTACAGATAATTGTGGGGGTCCTGTCTGGTTCATTGTATGGTGTTCAGCGGCATCTTTGACCTGTATTCACTAGGTGCCAGTGGCATCCTTCTGGTTGTGAGGACCAGAAATATCTCCAGATGTTGCCAAATGCTCTGCAGAACAAAATTACCCTGAGTTGAGAACCACTGGCTTACACACTATTTAAAACTAAATGGAATTAATTTCCAGTGTTGTAAAATGAGATTTTACATTTAAAAAAAAAAATCTACGTCTTTGGATTTTTGAGAGAACAGAACCTGTTATAGCAGGGGCCTCGTACACTTTCATGTTAGCATTTGGGTGGAATTCACTTTAGTGTTGTGTAGAATGAGGCACGCCTTTAACAATTCATCATAGTTCCTACTGAAGATTATTTCTAAATCTGATGTCCATAGGCATTTCAGTTAGCAACCGCTAATTCATTTAAATAGTAAGATTCTGATTAGTACAAATAAAATTGGTTAAAATGGTCAAGGCTCAAAAACTGGTGGTTACCAGAGGAGAGGTGGGGTGGGGTTGAAAAGGTGATAGGGATTAAGGAGAGCACTTATGAGTTTCAAATATTGTGTTTAAGTGTTGACTCCTTAAATTATACACCTGAAACTAATATTGTACTGTATTGTTATCTAACTGGAATTTAAATAAAACAAAAAGAAGGAAAAGAAAAAAAAAACTGTCTAGGCTCCCAGTAATGGCAGGCTAGACAATTTGGACCAAACCATACCAGGGAGGATAACTAGAAAACCTGGATAAAATACAGAAGTCATTGATAAAAAGTCTTAGGAGTAAAGATTTACTGGACCAGGTTGGAGTGGGGACAGAGAATGCGAGGAGCGTTTTTACCCTTCATGGCATTTTACCAGGAAATCAAGGAGCACTTTTAATAGGCCACAGGGCTGGAAAGACAGCAATTGGAGTTCAGGGGTTACAGGGCTTGAAGGTTTCTCCTTGCCTTAATTTGGAACCCTGAAAGTCTATGCTATCACAGTAAAGATGAACTAGCTAGTAAATAGTTCCTGACTGGGACTGAAGCCTCAGCATCAAATTTTTTCATTACCCAAAGTTGGAATAAATTGAAATCCTATTGCTGGTGCCCCCGGGTGCCTGGTAGATTCAAATGTAAATGCTCCCTGAAGAGAGAAAACATCATCCTATGCCTCAAGTTGATGCAGTAATGAATTTTGCAAAATGGTCCAACACATAATTAGAAGTAATCACGTATGCTAGGTGATGAGACAATGTGAACAAAACCTACCAGATACAACAAATAAGATAAAAAGACCCTTAAGGCTGGGGCGCCTGGGTGGCGCAGTCGGTTAAGCGTCCGACTTCAGCCAGGTCACGATCTCGCGGTCCGTGAGTTCGAGCCCCGCGTCGGGCTCTGGGCTGATGGCTCAGAGCCTGGAGCCTGTTTCCGATTCTGTGTCTCCCTCTCTCTCTGCCCCTCCCCCGTTCATGCTCTGTCTCTCTCTGTCCCAAAAAAAATAAACGTTGGAA